TTTCTATTTTTAAAAATTATATTGATTGATTGATTGGTAATCTGTAGGTTATTCCTTTATTTCTATTTTTAAAAATTATATTGATTGATTGATTGATTGATTGATTCATTCATTCATTCATTCAGAGATGGAGTCTCGCTCTGTCGCCCAGGCTGGAGTGCAGCGGCACAATCTCAGCTCACTGCAACCTCTGCCTCCTGGGTTCAAGCAATTCTCCTTCCTGTCTTAGCCTCCTGAGTATCTGGAATTATAGGTGCCCGCCACCACGCCCAGCTAATTTTTGTACTTTTACTAGAGACAGGGTTTCACTATGTTGGCCAGGCTGGTCTCAAACTCCTGACCTCAAGTGATCCTCCTGCCTTGGCCTCCCAAAGTGCTGGGATTACAGGCGTGAGCCACTGTGCCCGGTCTTATTTTTTTTGAGATAGGGTCTTGCTCTGTCACCCAGGCTGGAGTGCAGTGGCGCAATCATGGCTCACCACAGCCTTGATCTCCTGGGCTCAAGCAATCCTCCCACCTTAGCCTCATGAATACTAGGACTTCAGGCGTGCACCACCATGCTTGGTGGTGGTTTTTTGTTACTGTTGTTGTTGTTTTTGAATCAGAGTCTCGCTGTGTCGCCCAGACTGGAGTGCAGTGGCACGATCTCGGCTCACTGCAACCTCTACCTCCTGGGTTCAAGCAATTCTCCTGCCTCAGACTCCCAAGTAGCTGGGATTACAGGGGCCCGCCACCACGCCTAGCTAATTTTTATATTTTCAGTAGAGACAGGGTTTTGCCATGTTGACCAGGCTGGTCTCGAACTCCTGACTTCAGGTGATCTGCCCACTTCAGTTTCCCAAAGTGCTGGGATTACAGGCATGAGCCACCACATCCAGCCCCTGGTTGTTTTCTTAACCACCTCCCCCATCTTTTTTTTTTTTTGAGATAGAGTTTCGCTCTTGTTGCTCAGGCTGGAGTGCAATGGTGCGATCTTGGCTCACTGCAACCTCTGCCTCCCAAGTTCAAGTGATTCTCCTGCCTCAGCCTCCCAAGTAGGTGGGATTACAGCCATGCACCACCATGCCCAGCTTATTTTGTATTTTTAGTAGAGACGGGGTTTCTCCATGTTGGTCATGCTGGTCTTGAACTCCCGACCTCAGGTGATCGGCCCGCCTCAGCCTCCCAAAGTGCTGGGATTACAGGCATGAGCCACCACGCCTGGCCTTGGTTGTTTTCTTTGATTAATTTTTTGTAGAGACTGGGTCTTGCTATGTTGGTCAGGCTGGCCTCAAACTCCTGGCCTCAAGTGATCTTCCCGCCCTGGCCTTCCAAAGTGCTGAGATCATAGGCGTATGTTCTGGGACTATAACATCATGCCTGCTAGCTATTTCTTTAGAAAAATGAGACGAAGGCCGGGCGTGGTGGCTCACGCCTATAATCCTGGCACTTTGGGAGGCCGAGGCAGGCAGATCATGAGGTCAGGTGATCAAGACCATCCTGGCTAACACAGTGAAACCCCGTCTCTACTAAAAATACAAAAAAATTAGCCAGGTGTGATGGCAGGAGCCTGTAATCCCAGCTACTCGGGAGGCTGAGGCAGGAGAATGGCATGAACGCGGGAGGCAGAGCTTGCAGTGAGCCAAGATGGCGCCACTGCACTCCAGCCTGGGTGACAGAGCGAGACTCTGTCTCATAAAAAAAAAAAGAAAGAAAAATGAGAAGAAAAATAGTATTGTTAGTAATTATCCCTTGAGCTCATACTATCAAATATTATTCTAGATGCTCTATGCTGTACTTACTCATTTAATCCTCACCAGGCTATTGTCTGTGAGGTAGACTTGAGGTTATCCCGGTTTTTCAGGTATGGAAAATAAGGCAGAGAGGTTTAAGGATTTACCGAAAGTCACAAGACTACCTGGGAGGCAGCATCACTCCCCCAACCCAGAGAGTTGAGATAGGGAACTGTGGTTGCAAGAGGCACTGGGGTAGAAGGCGGAGGCACGGGGTAGAAGGTGGGAGGCACTGGGGTAGAAGGTGGGACACACTAGGGTAGAAGGTGGGAGGCTGGGACTGGGGGAGTCCATAGCCCTCCTCCCTCTGAGTGACGCCCCTTCCCCTGTGCTTGCATCTCTGTCCACAGGTGCAAACGCCATACCAGCCAGGAGGAGGCGGAGCTCGTTCAGCAGATGGCCGCAAATATCAAGGAGCGGCAGGACGTCTTCTTTGACATGGAGGCCTACCTGCCCAAGAAGAACGGGTAGGAGTTGGCAACCTCCCCACCCCTAGCACAGGCCCATGCCCAGGCCTAGCACAGCTGGTTCATATAACTCTCATCTTCCTGCTAGTGCTCAGATTGAAGGGGAAAGAGGGAAGGAAGGGCAGGAGACGTAAGAAGGCTTCCTTACGCATTCCTCCGTGAGCCCAGGAGAGCACCTTAGCCACACCGTGGGACAGCAGTATTCCTGGGAGGGCCGTTGCAAGGAACCAGCACCTACCGCATGCCTGGCGCCACCTGGGGTTAAAAGGGAGGTGTTCTCTCCCAGGAGAACAAACATGCATTGAGTGCCTCCTGTAGGCTCAGAGCTGTGCCAGGAACTCCTGTGATGTCACTCGTTTTATCCTCAACAACCTGTGCGTCAGACCAAGAGATCCCCATTTTTACAAGATTCAGAGACATCAGCGAATGTTTGGCCACACCAGGATGTGAACAGCAGACATTCTGACTCCAAAGCCCACGTTCTTTCTATTTTCCCCCTTCAGAGAAGTCCCCTCCCTCAAGTGATGTCATTGCCACCTTGTTCTGGAGAGAGCTGCTTACAGCCTGGTATCATCGTGACCCGGCATACGCTGCTGAGCCCAGTCAGTTCACCCTGACCCTGTTTTCCGGATCAGCCTTGCGCTGAGTCAGAGCCTGCGCTAGGAGGCGGGGCTCCTTTCAGGCCTGTAGCAGGTGGGAGGGAGCTGGTTAGCCCTGTTACGTTTTAACCCATTCTTCTGAGCTTCTCCTTTTTTACTATGTTTGGGTAAAGACTCCCTGAGTTAAGTGATGATCATTTTCTGCAGAATGAACAGCAGCCTAGCATTTGTGACCCTCTTACAGTGCCATGCGCATCTGCCTCCTGCCCCTCTGTGCCTCTTACCTCGGTTGGGAATCGTTGGATTGCAAATGATAGAAAACCCAGCTCAAGGCTGGGTGTGGTGGCTTGTGCCTGTCATCCCAGCACTTCGGGAGGCCGAGGTGGGAGGATCACTTGAGCCCGGGAATTCAAGACCAGCCTGGACAACATCGTGAGACCTCATCTCTAAAAAACTTTAACAAAATTGGCATGGTGGTGTGTACCCGTAATCCTAGCTACTTTGGTGACTGAGGTAGGAGGACTACTTGAGCCTAGGGGTTTAAGACTGCAGTGAGGCTGGGCACAGTGGCTCACGCCTGTAATCCCAGCACCTTGGGAGACTGAGGCAGGTTAAGGTTAGGAGTTCGAGACCAGCCTGGCCAACATGGTGAAACCCCTAAACCTACTAAAAATACAAAAATTAGCTGGGTGTGGTGGCACGTGCCTGTAATCCCAGCTACTTGGGAGGCTGAGGCAGGAGAATCGCTTGAACCCGGGAGGTGGAGGTTACAGCGAGTCCTGATCATGCCACTGCAGTCCAGTCTGGGCAACAGAGCGAGACTCTGTCAAAAAAAAACTACAACACTGCAGTGAGCTATGATCATGCCATTGCACTCTAGCCTGGGCAACAGAGTGAGACCCTGTCTCTAAAAATAATAACAATGATAATAATAATAATGAAAAATAAAGAAAATCCTTTTTTTTTTTTTTTTGAGACAGAGTCTCACTCCATTGCCCAGGCTGGAGTGCAGTGGCCGGATCTCGGCTCACTGCAAGGTCCGCCTCCTGGGTTCACTCCATTCTTCTGCCTCAGCCTCCCGAGTAGCTGGGACTACAAGGCGTCTGCCACCACGCCCGGCTAATCTTTTTGTATTTTTAGTAGAGACGGTTCAGCAGGATGGTCTCGAACTCCTGACCTTGTGATCCACCCGCCTTGGCCTCCCAAAGTGCTGGGATTACAGGCGTGAGCCACTGCGCCCGGTCCAGAAAATTCTTTAAAAATTGACCTAGAGGTTGTACCTATGCCTCCACCTCATTGGCTATGTTTAGTCACCTGCTGACATCTGGCTGCAAGGCAGGCTGAGAAATACGGTCTTTAAGGCAGCATGGAGGGGAAATCAACTCCGCACACTCTCGTGTCACAGGTGTAATGTCCTTTGGTCAATCATTATTCTCACTCGATGTGGGGGTCCATTTACCCGCAGAGCTTAGGCCCCCTCTATTCTAACATCACTACTTGGGATGTGCTTGTTAGGTGTGTTGAGTTTGAATGTTGTTAATTCACACCCACCTGCTAAGGATCACGCCCCTCACAGGTGTTTCCTTCCAGGCTCTACTTGAACCTGGTCCTCGGCAATGTGAATGTGACCCTCCTCAGCAACCAGGCCAAGTAAGTGTCTGCCACCCACAACCCAGATCCCACACCTCACATCCCACCCACACCCTGAATCCCACACCCCATACCCACACCTAATCTCACACCACAGCCCACACCCCATACCCCACACCCCATACCCCACACCCA